CATACTCCCGCCCAAAGGATCATCAGCGAATGACTCGTAAGCATTTATTTGCTCCATTCTTTGAACAAATGGAAGTCATGTGACACCCAGGCCATCAGCAGCAGACAGTGCGTGTTATTATTTTTAGCAGACTGTGCCTTGATGTGTCTAATCCATTCATCAATATGATGTGAAATGTTATTTTTATAACTTCACTCTGTTTGAAGTGATTGTAAATACTGTAAATATGATCCAGATGTTAGTATTGAAAAAATATGACGACACAAGCGTGTCTGTTTGTCCAAGCACACCACATACAATGAAATTAAGTCTTATCGTCTTGTTTGCCTCCATTTTTTTTCGAGTTTGGGCAGCAGTCTACTTGTCAATCATGATGTTCGCCACCGTTGCTCAACTACCACCTCTGTCAGTTAATAGTGAGCCGCTACCACCTTTGGAGGAGGATTTCCAAGATCAGGATTTTGCAGCGCTCCACAGATATCTGCTGCTCTTCCTGGCATGGTAGCACGCGTTCACGCCATCTGCCTGCCGGGTGTCGAGGAATGAGCCGATGTCAGGCGAGGCTCACTTTACGGTCGCTACCTCGCGCGCCAACGCAGCGTCGATCCAAAAATGGCAGCGGGCATCCAGCTTGGCTGTGTCGCCCACCTCACGTATGATCGTTGCTCTCCTGCAGGATGAAGAAGAACAAGTGTAGCAGCTCGGGAGAAGAGTGTGAATGTGACATGTGAAGACGGGGATTGTTGGTGATGACACACACACACACACACATGCTACGGTGAGTAAGTGTGAAGCCGCAAAAATGTCATCTTTAGCGTGACCGCAGATGGTCGTCTCCTCCTCCTGGTTGTTGTCATCTTTTTGCACGGGACCGAACAGAACTCCTCCAGAGCTGGGAGGCAGATGGTGCATAAAAAGTTCAGCCATTATGCAACTCAAATCCTGGCAGATGCTGAGCGAGGAGCTCCTGCCATGCTGAGATAGTAAAGAGGCGTTGCTTTTTTTGGTGCAGATTCAGAAGTCTCTATCCCATATCAGCTACATCACCACTGTTATGTATTGTATATATTGGGATGATTTTTTTGTTTTTATGGTCTGATGAAACCGAAGTTGAACTTTTCAGCCAAAATTACCAATTATGAACAATAAAAAAAAAAATCATACAGGGATACTTTTTAGGACTAAATACGCCTCGTTTTAATGTGTTACCGTATTTTGAGGTTGGTCATTTTGGTGGTACTTAAGTATTTTTTGCTGTAAAAAGTTCGAGAACTCACTCGCGGAGAACGCGTTTTGTTGATTGTCATTGGAGGATTTTCCTTAGGTGTCCACAAGAGGGCGCAATCAGACCAGCGTTGACTTGGCGCAACAAGTTTGTTGCCGATACAGTACAGTACTTTTTGGGTTTTTTTGCCCATCCAGCTGATGACCACGAAAAGTCTGAAGGAAAATCCCACTTTTTTCCTTCTATGGTTACGGGCAAACGTGGTTGCAGCCCCCACATTCCTCCTCCCACATCGGCGCGGTCCACTTCTCAGTCATCGCCAAAGTATGAAGCGTAGACTTGGGAACGGTGGTTTATAAAAGAAAACGTCGCTTAAAAAAGACGCCCGCCTTCATGTAGGGGCGTGGCTTGAGGTGAGCAAGCTGCCTTCCTATTGGCTGCGAGAGTCTCCGGACTCGCACAAGGAGGGACAGTTCGTCCGGCTCCAGCTTGTGTGCCAGTGACGGGACAAGGATGCGATTGTAACCTGACATGATCACGTCCGTGGACACCTAACGTGAAGGAGAGGAGAGAAGAGAAAAACAAAACAAACTTTGGTTACAGTTTGCTACGTCGGAAATGAGCGAGAGGAAAGTTGGCGTCGAGCAGTGAGGAGCAAGGGGAGGAGGAGGAGGAGTAGAGACTGCTCACCTGGAGACGACGTCGGATCTTCGAGAAGGAAACCTCAAGGCGAAACGATGGCCGAACACGAGAGCCTCGAGTTCGGCATGGCCGACTTTGTGCTTCTGGATAACGTGTCCATGGAGGACTTCATGGCCAACCTCAAACTCAGGTGAGCGGCCTTAATTTTTCGGCTTGACTGCAACAGGTGCTCCAGCCAACGTAAACCCGCCAAAACTTCAATGGAGGGAGGGGGTGGGGGGGAGGCCTGTTGATAGTATGACGTCATATAGGAGCGACCCTTCAAGCACGTCACAAGGGCACATTTTTGATTGACAGCTTGACCAAGTGGCTTTAATGTCACCTGTGTCGAGGCAGCACAATTACCCATAGTTATGATTTTCTCTTTTAATGTGATTTAAAAGACTGATAACAGTTTGAGGTGTTGTTGGAACTTATGCTTTAAAATAAAGTCTACCACTATTTTTATATCCCTGACATTATGGAACCCCACGCTTGTAGAAAAAGGCCCAAAATACATTATTTATTTATTGATATTGACGAGCGTTTTATGTTGTAAGGTCATTCAAACCACAACTAAGAGTTTAGAGTAAGTTGGTGATGTTGTAATTTAGGGCTGGCCTTAAAATAAATGTATGTATTTCTTATCTAATCCTATTTCTGATTTTAAATGACATTGCCTCCATGTTGTCAATCAAGAAATTATCGTCAGACAATTAATGGACATCCTGTGGGAAACATTTAGAATATTTATACACTGCCGGTTGATCCAATAAGCAGAGCTTGCTAGTGTTTTCCCAGGCAAGCGCGCACAGTAGCCAGACGGATAGCAGCCCAACGCTGGGCCTCATTTTCCCGCCTCTTGCCAGTTTCTGTCTGCTTGTTTTCCCCTCAGCTCGGTCCGGAGATGGCGTGTGCGGATTGTTATTTGCTGAGGGCGTCACCAAGCGGGAGCGTTTCCCTTTCCCACCCCCTACCCCCGCCGTATTCCCAGCATGTATGCGACGGACCCGGAGGGCACGGCTGTTTAGTTTTATGCCACAACAGCTCAGTGGTTCGGGTCTGGTGACAATCTAGACAGGAAGTGAACCCGGACACGAGCTTTGGTTCACACCCAAGCCTCAATTGAGTGACTCAGACCTCCGAATAGCTTTTCTGCCGAGCGTCACTTCCACGCCCGCCGTGTTGCCTTGGAAAATGGTTTGTGAGGGTGCAGTGGTGCCCGCTCCTTTGGGACAGATGGCCGGTGGGATCAGAGTTCTCTTTCCTGATTGGTTGTGGCTCTGAATGTCTTTATAAGGCAGCGGCCTGCAAAGCAAATAATTACAGGATCGGCTGTTTGTTTTAGTCTCGCAGGAAGTCCCGGGAAGGGGGCGGGGCCAGCGGCATCTGGCACAAGTATTCTCCACCAACCGGCGCCCGGCGGGGTTTCTGCAACATACTCTCACTTGCTCTTCCAGTCGAATGACATTTTTGGAATCACTCTGAGACTTGTGTGCCCACGGCCCACTTGAGAGCCTGGAGTGATTTGACCTCTGAACTGTGGAGAGATGAGAATAGGAGAGGAAGGAAAGCCAAAGTCCCACCATCTTGCTCCTCGGGTTTCAAGAGTTTCCTCTCGCTTGTTTTAAGGACCAACTTCCTCTTTTATCCTCGTTCTCCCAGTGATCAAAGTAGTCGCGCGACACGGGCGGGGTTTTGTACGTTGGACCAAAATCAAAACTTTTTTTCGATGCGTTTGGGCGTGACGTGCTCCCATGCAAACTCAATTTTTGCTCGCTCAAAAGTAAGGCTTAATATAGCCGTATTTTATTATATTTTTTGGGGGGGGTAGGTGTATATAAAACTTTTATTAAAAAGAAAAACACGCCCTCTTGGGATTTGCTTTATTGATGTCAAACAAACTACCCCCCTGTTTTTTTTCTGTGTAACAACATCCATCAACATCACCAAGAATGATCCCTAAATGAATTTGCATTTTCAATTTTGAACAATTTATCTCATTCAGTGCCAGCCACTCTCAGACCCTTCTTAACCTTGCCACGTGAAAAAAAAAAAGTACATCGGATTGAATGCCTGCATTGTTTAAAAAAAGAAAAAGGTGAAAACCCGTCCTCGGCATTGAATGAGTGAATATAAAAATCCTTTTCATACAGAACACCCTGAAAATAATTCTGCTCCTGTTGTCTGTTCCTTCGCAGGAAATTTTGAATATGACACCGCCCACACCACTTTTTTTGTCTTTGTTCAGGCTTCTTGATTGGCTGACAGTGGAGGCTTATTGTGCCACCTGTTGCTTTGGCATGTCTTTGACAGCTCATGATGTGGATGGAGACGTTTCTGGTTTTTATCGTCTCCTGTGAAGACATTTAGATACAAATCTGTCCGGTCCAGTATGACCTTTGTCTTTCCTCTTCATCCTCCGCAGGCCAATCAATGTGAGCATGTGACACAGGCGGGGTTTGTCCTTTTGTTACCGGTCTTATCAGCCAGAGCAGCCATGTTTACTTTGTCCTTTGGGCCTCCTTGGCAATAAAATCCACAGTGGACCAACGCCCTGATAGCTTGCACGGGCCGACCCCAATATACCGGTGCGTCAACCTGCCCGATAAAGTCGGGATTTGGGAATATTCTCCCTGGCGAAGGATGTCGGTTCCGAACTCAGTCTGCGCCCGCCTGCAGATTTCCTGCCTCTCCTCGACAACAGACGGATTCTTGCCCGGCGGGCCCGCTCGCCTGCGATCGTCCAGTCTCGCCGCAAGAATTTCCATACGAGCCTGCGTAATCGGAACCACATTACCGTTCTTATGTAAACACTGTTGTGTGAGTCTGCAGCCCCCCCCCCCTCCCCGAATAAGTGGAGCAGCTCTCGCAGACATCTCATTTGTGCGGGGAAAAAAAAAACCTCTTACACAAAAACATTGGCACGAGACTAACTGACTTCTGTTATGTCACTTGTTAAAACTGCTCTTGAGGTGCACATTTGGGTCTTGGATGATGTTTTGGTCCCAAGTGTTTGAATTTGGCGAACGAAAATAGCTTTTAAAGTACTCTGAACGATAGCTTTGTGTTAATCATTAACGGTGGGAGGATTGCTGTCACAGTAAAACAGGCCAAAATCCAGATGTCATGTTTTCAGTGCAGGAAACCCCCCCCCCCCCAAAAAAGTCTGACGTGACACATCTTCACTGAGGCCTTCTTGTTGTTCTTGACATGATGTCACCGTGTAGTTGTGTTGTCCGCCTGTCGGGGGACACGAGCCGCTGACTCAGGACACGCACGCTATCGTCTTCGGGGAGCGTCCCCATTATTCTGTTTAATCCGCGATCCTTTCTGGCTCTTGATTGCGATTTCTAGTCTCCCCCCACATAGCTCCATGAGTCCATGCATCTTTTTGGAAGCCTCCATTTTGTTTTTCCACCTTTTTTTTTTTTTCTTCCCCTATCTCACTCTGCTTCAATGGCAGCTTTCGCATCATCCAAGAAGGTTGTTGTCTTCTTGAACCTGCCTACTGTGTCCTGGGTGGGGTCAGTCATTGGATCTGTTTACATGCAGCTCTTGTTTCCTCTACCTGGTTGAGCTGAAGTATTCCCTGTTCAAACACAGCTGGAGATGGCGGTTGTTTATTTATTTTTGGGGGCGGGCGTCACGTGCCGCTCCGGCGGCATCCGCGGCGGGTGGGCAGAGACTAGCTTAAGCCCCCCCGACTCCAAACAAGAGCGACTGTGATGAAATGGAACACGCGCAGATTATCTCGTCGCTCTTTATAATGCTTGACATGACCCTGAAGGTGAAACCATCGGCACACGTGCGCGATGAACGCACGCCAACAATTACAAAAAAAGAAAAACGGACTATGACAAGGATTTGGTGAACTGTGAGCCATAAGAAGCCACCATGGCAAGTTTCTAGCGTGTTCCAACTGAACCCCACCGTCGATGAAATCGGTAAAATGGAGCTCTTCTTAAAGTGTTGTTGGGGTTTTTTTTCTCCTTGTGTGGAGAGGCCAAAAAGGTTGTGCTGCACAAAGATAGAAAGACAAGAACGCGCACACAGAACCGCACGCTGCAGTTTGGCCCGGGCGGATCTTTTTTATGGTCAGCTTTTGGGAGGAGCTCCAGCCATTTATGACATTTTCCTACCACTCTCCCTCCTCCTCCTCCCTCTTCCATTGCCTCCTACGCAAAAAAAAAAAAAAAAAAAAAAGGAGACGCACTTCAAAGCTTGTTGACAGCTTTGACTCAGTTTTCAAAGATTTGGTGAGATTTGCCCTCTCTATCCAACCGTGTTTGATGGTCTTGTTCCCTCCTCGCCAAACGATAAGCCGGCCAATGAAGACTCAGGCTATCGTCCAACATCTGATCACTCCAAAAGCAACACACGGCAGTTTGAGACACACCTTTTGAATGAATAAATGACTCCAGTTATTTGATTCATCGATGCAGCGCTCGTTCACTGTACCTCCAAACTGAATTTGGACTCAATTTCCTGCAGTCCAGACATGCAGTCAGAAGTGAAGGAGTTCCAGGCTGACGTTACTCTAAACCAAATATGCCAAGTCTGTCTCATGCCTGCTGCTCGCTACATCGGTCGGCCCACTTTGGGGCGCAGGGCGAGGGTCCGTTTTCAGACAAAGACCTCAGATTGACGCCCGAACAATGGGGCGGGCGCACGGCAGCCTCCTGGGTGGTGGCGGTGAGCCAGGCCACAATGGAGCTTTGAATGGGGACGCGTGTTAGCGAAGCGGAACAATGCTGCTGTTCTGCTCCGGCTGACAAGGAGGTGTTGTAGCGTGCTGCTAATGTTAGCTCGGTGGTGCCAACACTACCTGAATATCATGACTGACTGACTGCTTTCTTTCTAACTTTGGAGGATTTGACTGGCTTGAAAAACTTCGCATGCGCCCGTAAAGGACGCCTCTGCACCGTGTGAGCCACCCGCCTCCACCTCGGCTTGTTTGTCAGGGGGGCAGCAGACGTTCGGCGGCGGTGAAGAAAGAGGCCATTCTTCTTCTCCTGTGGCGACCAGACGGGATCCGATTGCTTTTTTGGAAGAGGAAGGAAATGGAAGGAGGTCAATTGGTGGTCTGGAGGAGAGCGAGGACAGGAGGGAGGAAAAAGCGCAAACAGCTTTCTTCTTAAATGATGGAGGATCCAGCAGGCTTTTTGGAGAGATGTCTTTATTAGGGATGAGTGAGTAGCGATACCAGGTATGGGTATCGGCCCGATAACTCGTGAAGGGTAATACGTGGCAGGGACAAAACACGCACAAGCACGGAGTGAACATGTCAACTCTCCAAACATTCCAAAGCAAAGGTCATTGTGATTCCACACTTGACTGTATGCACGTATTTTGCTCCATGAGCTCTGAAATGTCCTGGTGGACTAACATGAAAGACTTTGATTGTCTCTTGGTTACATATTAACGGTTTATGCTGTTCAATGAAGTGGAGATTTACTTATCTATTTCCTGCATGATTATGTCCTCCCCCAAGGCAGATTTTTGTTATCAGAGTGTCAACAAAGTAATCATTTAAAAAAAAAAAATCCTTAAAAACACTCCACAACCTTAAATGCACCATGTCGTAAAAAGGGCGCACATTAATACTGACACATTTTCTTCTGAATTACGACTCCGGGCTGTCTGTACATATTGGTAGCCCTTGTGTTGGTTATATTTTGCAAATGAGGCATTTTAAATTGGATGGAAGTAGCCTCCTCAATGTTTGCTTTTGTCTTCAGGTTCGAGAAGGGCCGAATCTACAGTTACATCGGCGAGGTGGTGGTGTCGGTCAACCCTTACCGCGCCATGAACATCTACGGCCGGGACGTGGTGGAGCAGTATAAAGGCCGCGAGCTCTACGAGAGGCCGCCGCACCTCTTCGCTATCGCTGACGCAGCCTACAAAGCCATGAAGAGGCGCAACAAAGACACCTGTATTGTCATCTCAGGTAACAAGGCCAACGCGACACTTCATTCGTCCATCCAGTCATTTTCGAGGCCGCTTTATCCTCATCAGTGTCATAGGTGAGCTGCACCGCATCCAAGCTGACTTTGGGGGAGAGGTGGGGTACACCCTGGACTAGTCTCCAATCCAACAACCATTCACACATTTGGTCGATATGACTGTTCATAGAATCGAACACTTACTGTCATTTGACCACAACGGTGGTGAAGCGACACCCAGTGGTCAGAGAAGGAGCTACACTTCATTTCTTGAAGTCTGCTTGTTCCATTTGGCAGCCAGATCAACTGAAATTATAGACTCCTAATATAAATGCGGAGCGTATTTAAAGACACGCCGGGACTTGACTTTGGAAAATGCCGCTGAGTCATCTGGTGTCCCAAGTGAGCGAAGGTGCCACAATTTGCCACATTACTTCTTGTTGCAGGGGAAAGCGGGGCCGGGAAGACGGAAGCCAGCAAGTACATCATGCAGTACATCGCCGCTATCACCAACCCCAACCAGCGGGCCGAGGTGGAGCGGTGAGGCAGGCTGTTATCCATCCACATAAAACAAGCTAATGCGTGGCTAACGTGTAGCAAGTGCGCTGAGCGGCCGTCGTGTATGCAGGGTGAAGAACATGCTGCTCAAGTCCAACTGCGTCCTGGAGGCCTTCGGGAACGCCAAGACCAACCGCAACGACAACTCCAGCCGATTCGGCAAGTACATGGACATCAACTTTGACTTCAAGGGAGACCCCATCGGCGGCCACATCAACAACTACCTGCTTGAGAAGGTAAGGACGTATGTCAACTGTGTCCCCCCCAGCCTTTCTCTTACTGCATCGGACGTAGTATCTGTTAAACATGTTGTACTACACATTTTTCTCGCCAGTCAAGAGTGATTTTTCAACAAGAAGGAGAAAGGAGCTTTCACTCCTTCTATCAGGTAAACGTGTGTTTACTTTCACTGCTCGCAAAAAGTTGAGCCATGACTTCTCGACTTGTCATGGGTAGTGCATATCGCCTCGGTCGTGAATATTTGTGTGTGTTTTGTGTGGGCAAGTTGCTGAGAGGAGCTCCAGATGCTCTGCTGCGCTCTCTGCACGTACAAAGGGACCCCAAAAGCTACAACTACATCAAAGTGGGCGGCCAGCTCAAGGTAAGCGCCGCATTCATCACTGGGACACGATGAAGAACATGTTCCATCCACCTGACATTTTGGGTTTGGTGGTGTACTGTGTTATTTGTAAAATAACATGCCTTGGGAGAATAAGCTTCCCAAGCAAGCAGATACTCAACGACACTTTCTGCTATGAGTTTGTAAAATTAGTGATTACCAGTTGTACCAACTAGACAGTATCGTCGTTGATAGCATCAAGCGCAACACGAAAATATCTCAAGTCCATCTCATTAATCCCGCTCCTCCCATGAGCCATCTCTTCTGCTTTCTGTCTGCAGTCGTCCATCAACGACGGCGCCGATTTCAAAGCCGTGGCCGACGCCATGAAAGTGATCGGCTTCATGGGAGATGAGGTCCTAACGGTTTACAAGATCCTGGCCACGATCTTACACCTGGTAACCATCCCATTCCCTGTTTGATTTTTTTATGAATTAATTTTTTTAGCTGGTGCGCACACTGCTTGCTGAGCGAAACTCTCGGTCCCTCAGGGAAACTTGACGTTTGGCGTCGACGGTGACGTGACGTTGATCGAAACCACCAAACTGGTATCGGTGATGGCCGAGCTGCTGTCCACCAAGCAGGACAACGTGGAGAAGGCGCTGCTGTTCCGCACGGTGGCCACGGGCCGCGACGTCATCGAGAAGCAGCACACGGCGCAAGAGGCCGGCTACGGGCGCGACGCCCTCGCTAAGGTGCTCATAATGGCCGACCCATTCCCACCCCCTCCAAACGCTGCTCATGTGTTGATCGTCCTCATCGTATTCAGGCCATGTACGAGCGACTCTTCTGTTGGATTGTGGGGCGCATCAACGACATCATTGAGGTGAAAAACTATGACGCCAGGGTCCACGGGAAGAACACGGTCATCGGGGTTCTGGATATTTACGGCTTTGAGATTTTCCAGAACAACAGGTTTGATATGTCCGTAAGCGATGCCACACTTGTGGTTCCTTCCACTATATGTGTTTGTTTGTCTGTTGGTGTCAGCTTTGAGCAATTCTGCATCAACTATTGCAACGAGAAACTACAGCAGCTCTTCATCCAGCTGGTGTTGAAGCAGGAGCAGGAGGAGTACCAGCGCGAAGGCATCCCGTGGAAACACGTATGCGCCACTCAGTCGTCTGGAGACACGAAATGAGTATTTTTTTTGCTAACATGTTTGACGTTGTGCCGCGCGTCAGATCGACTACTTCAACAATCAGATCATTGTGGACCTGGTGGAGCAGCAGCACAAGGGCATCATCTCCGTGCTGGACGAAGCCTGCATGAACGTGGGCAAAGTCACAGACGAGCTCTTCCTGCAGGGACTCAATGGCAAGCTGGCCAAGCACGCCCATTACACCAGCCGCAAGGTACCCACGCACCCTCTTTTACAAGTGCTTCCTCAAAATCACTGAGGAGTCTCAACTTTTGGGTCGAGGACAGGTGGTTCCCAAAAAAAAAAACAAAAAACAAAAAAAGCATAGGGAGTTTCTCACTGAAACCCATAGGATGTTGTAATAAGTGTTCAGAATCAGTTTGCCTCTGTGCTGTGCAAAGTTACCCTACAGGACATGTTGGGTCAGGGAGTTGCAAAAAAAAAAAAAAATGATAGATCAGTTGCCAGAGATAAAAGGCGGGGGTGTCCATCTTCTGCGTGGACACGAGGGGGCGGCATATGTCAGGAAGAGAACGTGACAGAAACGGATGACGTCAGTGGGCAGGGGGAAATGCAGCGCAGATGAAGCGCTTGGTTAACATCTGCTCGTCAGGAAGGTCATCCGCCAAGGCAGGATTTAGCGTTCAATACAGCAGATTAGAATGTCAGCATTTTATCATTTCTTGTCCTAAGATGCACTCTGGCCTCTCAATGGCTTTTCGGGTTGAGGATGAGACGTACATTCATCTTAGCCAGTTGCCGCACCTCTGACCTGACCTTCAAGGTCATCAGCTACCGACCCAACTGTCAGGCTGACTGATATTTTATGATCCACAGCTTAAAAAATAATAAGAATCATTTGCTCCCTTTAAGATGTCAAATTGTCATTCAAGTGCCCTCTTTGCTCGGCATTGATTCCCCCCGCCCTCCTTCCCTACTTTCCGGCCTCATTATTGTGACCTTGTTTTTCTCACGTTGCCATCACACCCAACACATTTTGTGAAACGCATAACAGGTGCCAAATGCGTGTTAGCGTGTTGCCTTCTGGGTTGTCACACCAGCCTCATTTATTCCAGTTCCAGTCGAGGCCTGGTGGCAACCGCGGCTCTTGCAACGCTGCCAACTTTGTTTCATGCTAATCTGAAACTACCTAAACTCCAACCATGAATCAGGTGATCCCCGTTGAACAACACGAGCAGTACGAGTGGATGTTTGAATACACTCAATCCCATTTTCCTTTATAGATCCCGTCGTTGCACTTTCTGTCCCAACTAGCCTCCATCCAGCTATCACCCCCTTCCCCCCCCCCCCCCCCCCCCCCGTGTCTCTTCCCATCACTCCACCGTCCAGATCGCTCCCTCGCCATCTCTCGTGCCCCCGTTTTAAAGACTTTGTCTCTCCTCGCGGGCTTCATCCCAGTGAGCCGTAGCCGCTTTCTGCTCCACTGAAGCGGCGAATCAGTGTCGCCGTTTTGCGCCGACGTGGCACGATTTGCTCTTGTGCATAGTTCAGCGCAACTTTAGCGTTCGGGTGAACATTGCTGGCTTTGGAAGAAGTCAGGACAATGACATCACCTTAGATCGCTGTAGCTACAGTACTTGCAGCGTCAAGATTCAACTCAACTGCCACTCAATGGAGATTGACATTAGTTATCGCCCACCGCTGTGCCGAAATCCAATTTCACTTGCGATTTTAGGCTATTTATTTACTTGAAACGGTGTCACTTTTTGTTTTATCCGTTTGTCAGAGACATTTAAAGACAGAACATCGAAATGCTCCTCTGTGAGATGGCAGAAGGGACGTTTAACCAGCATGTCTGAATTGAGGCAACATATTGCTGCACAGCTCCTGCGGATTGAGAGAGAGCGAGACCGTGTTTGTTAGACGGTTCATGTGTTGAAATGAAATTTTGGACAGCCGAGGTTTCGGGCTGACAGCTATGACACAAACGTTTGTTTTTAGTTTAACATGGAATATATCCTCCACAGTAAACGGGGTTCACTGTAATGGCACCATGCTTCAACCATGAATAAAATACCGTCACCGTTGTCTTTGTGCAGCTTTCACCGACCGACAAGAGTTTGGAGTTTGACCGAGACTTTCGCATCCGACACTACGCTGGAGATGTGGTGTGAGTACTCCGCCGAACATGATGACTCCACTCACGCGCGTTCCAATTTTCTGCTTTCCACGGACAGACACTCACACACGCCCAGAAGTGTTTAAATGACATCATCACTGCTGGATGACAATCCCGAAAGCCACTGGACACCGTTCAAATGAATAAATCACACATGCTAAGCCCTCTTAACACGCTCGCCTACAGCCCATTTGCGGGAGTTAAGAGTCTCCTCTTGGGGGTGATGGTGCATGGGGGCGGGGGGGGGGGGGGGTCAAGCTTGATTGATCCCTGAGCCACTTAGTGCCGCCAGAGCACACCCGCTATCCTTCAGCTGGACTCACTTAATAGGATTAACTTGTTGAACTGATGTGTGTTTTGCGCTTCTTACCTGCCTCCCCGTTTCGCAGCTACTCTGTGGTGGGTTTCATCGATAAGAACAAAGACACTCTGTTTCAGGACTTCAAAAGGCTGCTCTACAACAGGTGTGATACATTACACACATCACCTTTTTCCCCCCCTGTTCCCATCATTTAAGGCCATATAAACCTGCCAATAAGCAAGTTCCAAGGAAAAAAAAAAATCAGAAAAATAGTCACATTGAGCATTGTCCATTTTCGTTTCATGTGTCCAGTTCCAACCCTGTGCTGAAGGCCATGTGGCCCGAGGGCAAGCTGAGCATCACAGAGGTCACCAAGCGGCCGCTCACCGCCGCCACGCTCTTCAAAAACTCCATGATCTCCTTGGTGGAGAACCTGGCGAGCAAGGTGAGGACTCACCGGTGTAAATTGCCAGCCGTCACCGTGTTCTCGTGATAATTCAATGCCTTCGCATGTGGGAAAGGAGAGCCGCAGTTTCCTGAGGGCAGCCACCGCTCACGTCCGACATTCCCACCAAGCCCCGCCTCCTAAAATCTCATGCATGTACACAGGAAATACAGTAGCACCAGTTTTCTATACACTTAAAAACATAAAGCTTGCTATTTTTTTTTTTTTTTTTGACTATTGCCGGCGGGTCCGCAACATAAACAGTCAAACCTAAGTGCCCCAACGCCTTCCATCTTTCTCCCGCGCTCTGCAGGAGCCCTACTACGTGCGCTGCATCAAGCCCAACGACGTCAAGTCGCCGCTGCTCTTCGAGCACGAGCGTTGCCGCCACCAGGTGGAGTACCTGGGCCTACTGGAGAACGTACGAGTGCGCCGCGCCGGCTTCGCCTACCGACAGACGTACCCGAGATTCCTGCAGAGGTACCGAACACATAAACGAAGCTCTGAACGATGCACGGTGTGACCCATAAAGCACGCTTGTTGTTGTCCTTGCCCTCGTTCTCCATCTGTGACGCTCACCCACTGGCCACACAGCATTAGGTCACATCTTTTCCATCACTGACTCAGCGCGCCAAATGTCGAGGAAACGACGTGTCAAGATGTTTGCAAGACGGTGCCGCCGTCTCACGGGCCACCGAGTTTGATTGCGGTGTCAAGTGATGTCACCGTTGGGCTGATGTGGACTCGAGGCAGTTCTGAATGAGCCGCTATCAGTCACACGAGCAGTGTAAATGCGCTGGCTCAGGCTGACGAAATGACATTTGCTATGCTGTCTCCCGGGTATCTTAATGAGATACCTCACGGACGGAACATTATCGGCCATTTTTACAGACCTTCTTGCTTATCTTGGGCCAGCCGCCCCTTTTTTTTCACGGCGCACTATTCTTAACTATTTGTATGCAAGCAACAGCGATATTTTGGCAGTAATTTGTACCCTTTAAATGTAGCTTACTTGCGCATTTTTTAATTCAGATTTTGTGATTTATTGCATGAAAGTAGAACCCATTTCAATTCCTGACAAGTTGCTTTTGTTTTGAAAGTGATTTTTCACATATACAACATCCTCAGGGCAACTGTGACTTTACAAAGCATGCTCCCTCTTCCTCTTTACTCTCAGCAGTCATGACACGATGAAATTCGTAATGCAATATTCCGAAACGTACGTCCCACCCCGCAGGTACAAAATGATCTCGGAGTTCACGTGGCCCAACCACGACCTTCCCTCGGACAAGGAGGCTGTCAAGAGGCTCCTGCAGGGCTGCCGCTTTGACGACGACGTGGCCTACGGGAAGACCAAAGTGTTTGTGCGCACGCCGCGCACGCTTTTTAGCCTGGAGGAGCAGCGCTCCGAGATGCTCCAGAGGATCGTCGTCTTCCTGCAGAAGGTGAGCGCGCCGAGGTTCCCTCACGAAACTGTATCGCTAACCTCAGGCGTTCAAAACAAATGAGGAATCGCGACCCGTTATTCGGTTTTTCAGCAAATATCTGAGGGGAAGTTAGACGGAGGAAAAACAAAGTGCTGGCAGAGTGATGTCAGAGTGCTCACAGTGATAGACCATCCGGCATTCCACTTTGGAGGCACATTCCCATTCACATCAGGAAAAAAAAAAAAGTCCCACTGACATGAGCGCCCCCTTCGTTTCCTTCCCACGTGACGAAATGAATATTTCATAAATTCCATCGCATCAGACCACACATCCCAGTAAGTATGCGCCTGTCAAAGCAGCGAGACCAAAGATTCCCCTCGGGAATTCTCCTCCCCCGCCGCCTTAATTGCTTTCCAAAGCTTTGCTCTCTGTTCTCCGCTCCGAGGGCATCAGCTGTCAGTGTGGCCAAGACTCTTTTGATGTCCCCTCGTTGTCTTTTCCTTCGCAAATGGCGTCTTCATCCAGTAGATTGGGAAGTCGTGTCCAGCGTAAGGGATTAAACATTATTTTTATTTATTTATTTTGGGGGCGGTTAAGCGGCGATGTGATTTATTGTGACTTGATGCTCTTTTATTTGATTCCTCCTCCCCTTCAATTGACCTCCCGCTCCGCCCCCTCACACTTCCCACAGCGCTTGGCTCTAATTAGTGATCTGCTTGGATAAGCGTAGTGCAGCAGCCTTTCAATTCCCACTCATGCAGACGCCGCGTCATCATCGCGAATGCTATAGGCACGAGCTAGCATCGGTCTTTGCTGGTCTAGGGGGCCCCAGACCTCCCCCAAGGCTTTGTTCTGCCCACTTTTAATGCAGTGGCGTCTTGACTGATGAGCCGAATTCGTTCTGTGAGCCCGTTGAAATGAATTGGAATGAAATTAATCTGTTCTTGCCCTGAAATTTGTTTTTCTTTTTTTGCTACCACTAAAACGAACCAAGTTCACACAAAAAAAAAAAAAAGGAAATCCTAGGAGAACCTCGGGGTATTTTGATGAGCGCAGACATGTTGACAAGACATCCTGGAAGTTTTTAAAACGATCAAACAAATGCATAATGTCTCATTTAGAAATCCGGAGAGGAATTTGTCATGTACGCAGAGCAAAGCCTCCTTGGCAGAGGTATTAAAATCAGAAAAATGAATTTCCACTTGTCAGTGCGGCGGAACTCATCTCGCCAAGATAAATGACAATGAACGGGAATGAGACAAATTAGCCGTTGGCGACTCGTGCTGCGGCGTGACATATGATCCTCTTCTCCAATTATGGCGGCGAGCTCATCAGGTGAAAACCACCTTCTGAGCATTATTATTATTCATGTGCTGGAAATGTGCCTCCTCCTTGCCGTCAGCCACCCGCACCGCGTGAAATATTCATCATCTCCATCATGACTGTGCGCCGGATGCTGCGTTAACTGTTGTTAATTTCATCTGCTACTTTTTGACTCACGCACACACACACACCGAAGTACTCCCACGCTTGACTTAAGTACAGATAGTCGACAGCTCCAGCACACCCTTGACCCTTGTGAGAATAAGCCCTCCAGATAATGGATGGACACCACAAAAAAAAAAAAAAAATCACACGTAATCGCACAGCTTCAACTTGTAAAAATTGCTAAAACGCGATAGGTGGGCTCACGAATTGCATCCATGTTGCCCAATAAACCATGAAATCATGATTATTCAAATGCAAACAACACATGTGTCACGAATAAATAAAAGCTGATCAGAAAAATACATCAATAAATGTATGAAAAATCGACTTGAGTATATTAAAGCCTTTCTGTCATCCGCGACTTCCCACAGCTGCACATCCCACGGGGGGCTGCTGCGTAAGTTGCGTACTCTGTGATTGTGGTGACGATAATGCTTTGAGGTTGGATGAAGTGTTACGACACCCAAGGGCGCTGCTACCTTTTAATATTCATCTTCCTCTTCACACCGATTGCCACTCTGCCTGACTGGTTATCCTTATAATAGATCCTGTAGCTATCTTGTCATCTTGAGATGTTGTGGGCGGGGGGATTTTTTTTCGGTGTCGGCGTCTCCAGGTGTGGAGGGGGACCATCGCCCGCATCCGGTACCGGCGCATGCGGGCCGCCCTGGTCATCCTGCAGGCCTACCGCCACTACAAGGTCAAGTCGTACATCCACGAGCTGAACCGCCGCTTCTGCAACGTGCGCTCCATGAAGGACCGCGGCCGCCACGTCAAGTGGCCCACGCCGCCCAAAGTGCTGCGCAAGTTTGAGGATTCGCTCAGGAGCATCTACAACAGGTACGTGCGCCAGGACGACGATGGGCAAAGTAAGGCACGGGGGGAGGGGGCACATTATGGACTGCTCCCTTCCTGAGCATTTGTCATCACACATTTTTTTTTCCTCAAATTGCTTACTTCAAACGATTTCATCTGGTCTTAAAACACAAATGCGGTCCTTGAGTACAATAGTGTACCCACCCCGCCCCTCTTGAGCTTTTTGCTTGTGATTTCAAATATTCATTCCAAGTGCAGCCAGCCAGTGTGGCTTCTCAGCCGGTGTTTTTCCAAAGCTGGCAGCCGCGGAGTTGACCCGTGAACCGCTGGAGGCTGACAAGGCCTCGGGTCTCGTTTCTCTTCCAGATGCGGCCCTTTGAAGCATGTTTCCTTCTACTGACACTGGGAATGTTTTTTTTTTCTTTTTTAATTCCCCGCATCCTCCAAAAACCCATCGCTTCCTTTCATCCTGACAGCAGTCTGCACAGCGAGAATTTTGCCCCGCCGGAGATGATGGAGGAGTCGACTCGGGTCGATTTTCCCCCTCTCTAATAAGGTGTTTGTGTTTTCTGTCTTCCCCCCTGCCCATCATTTTCCCTTCTGCAGGTGGTGGGCATGGACGCTAATCAAAGGCCTGAATGCAGAGGAGATTCTGCAGGTGAGAGCCAAGGTGGCCTGCCTGGAGGCCCTCAAGGGGCACAGGGTCGACCTGGGACTACAGCGCGCCTGGGAAGGAAACTACCTGGTAAATAGTTGGACGAAACGTCAATACATTGAAATCCAGTTACAGCATTTCTATCAAGCAACCGTGAATCTGTTTACTTGAGGTTATGAAACTGAAAAATGCCGCGCCTTTCTCGTGTCCCTTTTTCCAGAAGCGAGACAGCCCCGACAGCACGGCGTCCTTCACGTTGGTCTCCAGCGAGTTGCAGCGCAGAGACAAATTCATGCGGGTCTTGTTTGCGTGCAACGTACGCAAGGTGGCTGCCAAATACACCACCACAGTCTCAGCACCTTCCCACCTTATTTGCTTTTGCCACCAACCCAACCCGACTCGAATGACAATCTGCTTGCTGTGTTTCCAGATCAACCACTTCCACAAGGCGGAGGACCGAGTTGTGCTCATCACCGACCGCCACTTGTATAAAATGGACCCTCTCAAGCAGTACAAACCCATGAAGAGCATCCCGCTTTACAACGTAAGACGCTTTCATTTCACCATTTGTCAGCCGTCGGGCAGATTTGGGCCACTCACAAAGCTGAAAAAGCCGCTTCAGATGACTTGGGATGTGGCTGTCGGTCAATGCGGTGACATAGTCGGCGTTAGCCTTTTCCTTGAGATTTGAGGGGTGTTAGGACTGAGGTTTTAACCTGGCGGGAGGGAAACTGAGAGCCAGGAGACAGCCGACGCCGCTGCGGTCGCATCGAGACACCGCAGAGTCGCGACAGATGGCATTTGGGGGTGGGGGGGGCCAAGACAGGCGGAGTTTTTCTGAGCTAGCGTTCATTATTGACGACTGCTAACATGAACTGAACGATGACAATAGATATGTAATGACTTAGAGTGGCATTTTTTTTCCACCTGGAAGTCCGCGTGACATCATGATGAAAAGGTCTATAGAAGGAGAGAGCAATTCATGAAAGCTAAAATGAGGGGGGGGGGCGGAAACATTCGCATCTACTGCGCGGGGGGGGGGGGACATTCGCATCTACTGCTAGGCTAACACTGCAAAAATGACATCCATTGCGCAACATCTCGGCATCAGCAACTTTGGAACTTACTCCCCCCAACCACACACTTCCGATAACCAACTCCACCTGATCCCGCGCCGTCTCCGCTCCCTTCCCGCCGTTGTCATGCCAACTTCCCAGGAGACGGCGTCGTCATGGCGACGGAGCGGATCAGCTGATGTGTGGCGGCGCTCCTCTTCCACCTTCTGTTTCCCGAAGAGCGCCATTCATCTCCTCCGTTTCCTTTTTCTACCTTTCACCCTCCCGTAGCTGCTGTGCGGCCATTTTAGCTTAGGGGCGTGCAGAAGCCAAAGAAAATTGTTGTTGTTTTTTTTTTTTTTGAGTTTACACATCAGGCAATTGAACAGATGGCGGGACAGACGAGTGGCCGCCGAGGCTTCATTCGGCGGATCAAAAGTGATTTAGTGGATCAAGGCAAGAAAACAAATCAGAAAGTGTCGTTAGCAGCAGGCTGCCCGGCAATTAAACCTACAAAACGCAGTAAATGTGGCGCCGTGAACAGGGGTGTGCAATGGGGTCTCGAGCGGCGACATATCCGACGAAGCGACTGGAAAAACTCCCTTGTCGTTTGTATGTCTGCGCAAAATCAACAGGAAGCGAGATGAAGCGCATCAACACAGCAGAAGGTCAAAGCCGCTCATCTGCCTTCTCTGCCGGCGTCTTTAAAGATACATAAAAGTCAAACTAATTGTTCTGGTCCTGCTGCTTTTGATTAAAAGAACAATTGACTGCTCCCCCAGGCGAGGCGCCTCAATAAATCTTGATCCGCTTTGACTTTGATGGATTATTTTCTCCTTCCCGACTCAGTTTGACTGTGCAGTCAAGACATCGTCACCGCATCATTCCTCTCACTGGACGCCACACCGGCAGCACAACACAATAAAATGTAGAAGCTCACTTTATCGGCCATTTTGCCCCCTCTGTCATTTTCGATTGACATGCATGCTGATGCGCGGCAGGTGACGGGCATGAGCGTGTCTCCGGGCAAGGACCAGCTGGTGGTTTTCCATACCAAGGACAGCCGGGACCTGGTGGTGTGCCTGCAGGGCCTGGTGCCCGCCAACGAGAGCCGCATCGGTGAGCTGGTCGGCGCCCTCCTCAGCCACTTCAAGAGGTAAGACGGCCGGCGCTCCCGTTTCCTCTTCGCAAAAGTCGCATGACGTCAGCATACCTTAACAATTGGAGCTTGGTGATATTGTCCTCGGTGAAAATGAAATATTGGCAGCGAGAACCGATTAATGGCGTTTCACGCCGGCTCATCCGTCCGTCACTGTGACACACTGATTTTTATTTTTTTACACAATGCCGCCACGTATGGGATTACCCTTCACGTGTCCTTCAAAGACCAACGGACCCCCACACTCCCTTTTGTCGTGAAAATGTTGTTTTGTTTTTAATGGCAGATGTTTCCCATCGTTAAAAAAGCAACAGCGATGCAGAGGCGTGCTTCATTAGGCAACCTCAGTCGTCTCTTCTAAAACAAAAAAACAACAACAAAAAAGGAGCTTCGGCTTCCTCCATGTTTTTGAAACAAGCCGCATCTCGCTCGTCTTGGATGCAGCCCGGCCAAGCCCACCTCAGCCTCACTTGTCTCCCCCTCCCCCGCCCTTCCCCAGTTTCATTGCTGAGGAAGGGATGAAATATTTAAAGCCGCGCTGCTGCTGGCGACTATTTTTAGAGCACAAGCAGCCACCGCTGTTGTCTCTTATTTTTTCTGTGCGTTTCGAAAAAGAACAAGTGTGCACTGAAGCATTGGGGCGCAGAGGTTGGAGTAGTCCGAACCGTTTTTGCCGCGGTTCTGTGTTGCGTCTTTGCCGCAGAAGCGTTCGAAACCATCGAAAACGGGAGTACGCCAGCTTCCCCCGGGACGCGAGCGTGTCAACGTGCATTTCAGCCCGCACCACAATGACCGAGAGACGGACACGTGTGGGGGGAGAGAGAGAGAGCGAGAGAGCGCTGACGCGCTTTCCTCGCCAAGGTCACAACACTTTGTGCTGAATCAAATTGTTTTCGTCCTGACTGGTGCGAGCCACGCACTCGTCTTTGTGGCATCCCTCCTTCTCTCACCCTTCGTTTGGCCCCACCTTTTTCCTTTCTGCCCTCATTGTCCCTCCTCCCCCTCGCCTCCATCCTATATTTCCTTTTCCATCTTTTCCTCGCTCCTGTAGCGCACATCCTTCCATCCTTCTCACTTCTTATTTGCTCTCTTTTCTTTCTATACCTCCTCTGCTCTTGCCCTTATCCTCCCCCTACTGGCCCCCGTTGGTTCCATACTTTTACTTGATTCCTCACTCGCTGTTCCGTTTTCGATCTCGCCCTCCTTTCTGTCCTCTTCCGTCAGTCCTTCCGTCACTTGGCCTTCAGTCCTTCTCTCTCTTGAATTTGCTTCCATGTTTTCTTCTCATCTTCGTCCCCTCCCCCATTTGTCTCAAATTGTCTTTTCCCTTCCCCCCCTTCCTCTCGACGCGTCCCCCCTTTTCCCTAATCCATGCCGCTCCCTCACTCTCCCCCCCCCCCCCCGACCCTCCTCCTGACTCCCTTTCTTCCCTCACCCACCAACTGCGCCGATTCTCCTCTTCTGTTTTCCACCTGACATTCCTGGTCTTGCTCTTTTGTTTTCCTTCTCCCCCTTGTCTCTCGTTTCCTTTCTGGGGCGCTGCGGATGCAGTTGCCATAGCGACAGCTGCTTCCATGTTTGTCTGATCGGTAAGCGATCCATTCATACGCCCGTAGGCCGCCCGCATGTTTGCAGACCGGGACGATGTAAGTCCCCCCCCTTCAAACATTTCCACTTGTATCTTTTTGTGTGTGTGAAAGGAGACGTTTCGCTTTTTTTTTTTTTTTCTCCACAATCTAAAACAGTTTCCAGGTGTCTTTGTAATTGGGCACCAGTTTGGACATTTCCACTTTGGGGTGTACTCACTTTTGTTGCCATTTGTGTCAATAATGGCTTTGTGTTGGGTTGTTTGAAACAGAGAGTACACATACAAGCCGTACGCTACTCTACATTGTAGCAAAGTTGTCATTCTTCCGTATTGTCCAAGGAATAGATCAAATGTGAATAGCAATATCAATCCATGGGTGCACATGTTCCGCCAGGCAACAATACTCCCCCCCCTTCCTCGCCTGCCACTGTCAGCATGATTAGCTTTATCGCTGGCCACCTCTCCGGTGGATCCGTCCTCGCTCTTTCCGTGTCGCAGTTGCCTGATGACCTCGTTTCCTCAGCGCCATCCATCCTGTTGGACACCTTTGCCGTGCTACGTGGCAGCGACCTCCTTCACGCCGCCGTCCCTCCGTCAGGAACCTCGCGTGATCTTTTGATGTGCGGCGTTTTCTTTTGTTTCTCTCTCCTCCGATGACCTTCAGCTGGTCTTCCAGCTCCCTCCCAATCAATTGAAAAATTGTCCGTAAGTGTGATTGTGATTGGTTGAAGAACATTCTCTCAATAAATAGATTATTTTTTGCAGTGGATAAAAAAAAAATAGATGCCCGTATGAATATCCATGCTAATTGTTAGCCAGCCAATGTCATTTTCCATCACATGTTAGCATTAAGCTATCAACGGTATTCTTAGAGCAAAGTTGTTCTGTTTTCAATGCTCCGTAAGTGTGATTGTGATTGGTTGAAGAACATTCTCTCGATAAATAGATTATTTTGTGCAGTGGATAAAAAAAAAAAAAAAAATAGATGCCAGTATGAATATCCATCCTAATTGTTAGGCAGCCAATGTCATTTTCCATCACATGTTAGCATTAAGCTATCAACGGTATTCTTAGCGCCATTCACCCGCCGTCCCGCGGGAAGCCGGACAGTCAATGTCCGCATGTCGTGAGCGCGGCCTCCCGGGGGGGAGGGGCCACGACACGCGTCGGCCTTTTATTGCCCCTCTTTGGACTGACTGTTGTTTAAACGTGACTGAAGTCACGCCAGACATATGGAGCAGGTTGAGGAGCCAACATGTGAGCAGCCTCTGTGATGCATGAATAACATAATAAGGCAATGATGCTCATCAAAAAAAACATCACCTGCTGCTGTTTTCCTCTCTACAAGTGTCGCAGCCAAAGGTGGCGGAAGTACTCGCATGATTTTAAAAAGACAAAATAAACAAAACCTTGACTCAAATAGAGTTCCTTTTGCCTTTTCCTTAAAGACCCGGTAAAGTTAACGTCCCTCTATACAGTGTACGTGTTTTTGAAGATAATTACTGAACTGGAAAGTAACATGATACCATAAAGTACATTTTTGACTTGGCTCGCACTTTCAGTACAGTAACGGAGGATTTATTCTTCTCCCCTCCGGTGGTAACTAACATTGCGTCTTGTGAATAATCCACTGCCATGTTGGGAATTGCCGCACTGGAAATGATCACAGGTGGAGCCGTTTCCGGGCAAATAACAATCTCAGAGCTTCTGAGCTGCAGGCTGTCTGCTGTTTGAGTAAATCCGCAAGAAGACATGAGGAGAAAGCGCTATTGATTAAATGTATTCCAGATGGAGAGAAAGTCGATCTTTAGATCCTCCAGCGAGGCTGCTGCTGAGCTGAGCTGAACATCACATCGGACAAAAGAAGGGCGCTGGTGCTCTATGGCTTCTTTGGACATGCTAATATGATGACGTCACGCGTACTTCCAAGTCGCGATGGCCCCGCAAGCAATGGAAGCCTGAAGTAGCTCCTCCGCCACAAATCTAATCGCAATTTACCCGCAGGAAAAAAACAAAACTGGCGCCGATTGTTCGCCAACATGAAAAGCTCTACCCGAACCACAAAATACCTCCCTGGGAAACTTGAATTTGCCAATCCGCTCTTTCCGCTGTTTTGTGCTCACTCAGCACAGACGCGTGAATAACAAGGAGCAGCGGTTCTAATTAGCATTTTTCTCCTTCAAGTGCCCTTTTTATCAGAAGGGCGCGATGTGCACTGTCGAAATGTGCATGCTAATTAGCTGCGCTTTGATCAAACCCACGCAGGATAATCCGGAAACTGCGCAGTTAATCCTTTGCGGGGATTATAACCTTTTGATCGGCCTTGGAGACAGGCGAGCTGCTCGCATCCCACTCGTTGGTCCACTCATGGTGACCGTGTGCCTCGTTGCTTCATTGTCGTCATTTCAGCTCGCTATTGCTGTGTGAGAGACTTCTACGGGGGAAACTGTCGGTCCTCATCAAATGTTGTTCTGCATCTGGTTGTGAAGTTGTGAAACGTGAGCTCACGCTGCAAAGTCGCAACAACAAGCGCAAGCGGGCTGTTACCCGCCAATGGTGGAAAGAAAAAAAAACGATTTTTCGGTTTGAGAGGGGTCACTGGCCTCTTAAAGTTTGCCTTGGGGGAGGTCAGAGCAGCTCACAACTGCCTGCAGGGAAAGAAGGATCATCCCGCAACCTTAAAAATCATCTTTTATTCCCCCCAAATTCTGTTTATCGGCGCAATGTGATTTTATTGCGTTATCTATTTCGAGACCGCTTTGTGCGTGTCTAATCGTCAGAGTGTTTGCCCTTCGCGCCAAGCGCAGCATGCCTCTGGCATTTCGGCAAGACACGCCCACACAATCACAAAGTACCTTTGGCTGGCGGCCATGACAGATGGAGGAGGTGGGCTTGGGGAGGTTGCCGCGGCAACCAGCACTGACTTCTCCCCTCCGCTCCAACTGAAGCTGCATGCGGAGGCGTGCGATGTGGGCAGCGTGTTTGTGTTCATGATTTAATTGTGTGTGTGTGTGTGTGTGTGTGTGTGTGTGACTGACTGACTTGTTGTGATTGCGTAACAAGTTGCCGTCATCAGGTGATGACTTGTCCCCAGTTTATCTGGGTGTGGAAAGGCCGATTTGTTTTTGCTAGCAAGCAGGCAACTTTCAGTTTCAAGGAGGAGGGCGTTACATGCTTTCAGATGAGCGGGACCAATATTTTTCTTCAGGGCCGTATCATCTCACCCAACCAACTCATCACAACTCAATAGGATTTAAAGCAATTTAAAAACAACCTCAGATAACACAAAGTGCATTTAAAAAAATAAAACGCCGTCACAAAATATTAACGCGAATCAAATAGATGTTGGCTGCCCGCCGTTCCACCAGCAGCCCGATGGCGGACTGGAGACATGTCAAGCTAGCGCAGCTCTAGTGCAAGTTTAGCTGTCAATGGTTTGTGTACGCTTTGCCTTTAATGAATGTATCCGTGTGTGGCAGCGAGCGCAGGAAGCTGCAGGTGAACGTCAACAGTCCCATCCACTGCAGCATGAAAGGCCGGAAGTGCACGGTGGTGGTGGAGCCCAAGATCAACCAATCGCAGCCCGACTTCACCAAGAGCCGCGCCGGCTACGTGCTGGCCGTCCCCGCCAACTGAAGGGCGCTGAGTGGCGGGCGGCGGCAACGACCACGACGATGCCCTCAGCAGACCGGAAAGGTGATGGACTGCTTTGTCTGTTCTGGGCGGGGTTTTACTGAATCGTCCAATCGCAGCGTTAAAAAGTTCGCACTGCTGGATCATCCACCAAAGTGATGTTCTCACCCCCCACCTCCGCTTTTTTTTTTTTTTTTTTTGCTTTGTGCAATATTGTTCTCTTTTTGTTGTCAATCCAAGAATAAGTTGAATAACTTTTATGTTTGTGAAGGATTTTAAAAAATGTTAATTATTAATGGTCGTCCATGCCAAAGGTGTTTCTTGACTTTTTAGTTGGGCTGTGTTGACCACGCCCGCAATTTAATTAAATTAATTTAATGTGACTTTTCCATCCCGGCAAAAAATACGTCTGTTCATAAAGATTACGAGGGGACTTCGCACCCTAAAAGTTCTGCTCTGAAATGTCGCATAAACCCGACAAGCCAAACAGTATAATTATTATTATTTTTTTTTTCATAAATGGATGGATAAAATGAATACACGCGAGTGCGCTGTAATGAAGGGAACCTCAGTCGAATCAAATGTTTTTTATGTCAGTCCGCGTTAGCCGGCATGCTATCAGATGCCAATGGATTTAGGACCTAGAGGAGCCGCACACACAGACACACCCGTCATGTTGTGTGACAAAGTGAAGTGTGAGCCAAAGGTCGTTGTGGTTTGTGTCCAGCGGCGCGGTGCCCAAGCGGAGAGTACGTGCGCTCGAGTCCCTGAGCCGCTCGTTAGCCCGATATTCCGTGCTCGGCCTCGGGAGCAACTTGCACACAGTCACGCCAAGAAGGGGAAGAGGAGGACTTCCTTCCTCATTAGTTCCTTTCTCCCTTCCTATTCTCCTGATGCCCTCGTTTGCTTCTTACTTCATTCTGCCCCTCCCTAAAAGTCTCAAAATCGGAGCGGCGACACGCACACATTCCAAGTGGACTATTATTGTCGGGTTCCGAAAGACAAAAGGTACCTAAAAATTGGGTGATATCTGCCAACTGTACTCCATTACCAAACAAACTGGACTGTTTGTGTGTTGGCTGTATGCCTTCAAGGGGCGTGGCCTTGCCAGTGACATCAGATTGGCCCGTTAGTCTGAGTCTGGGCGTTGAGTTGTGGCCAGCAGCAGCATCCCCGTGTGGGTGGGGCTCTCCTTGCCCACATGGGCGGGCATCACTTCAATTCTCCATTTTATTTTTTGCATCACTCCGGTCCAGCTAAAGTGACTCAAAAACTCCCAAGCCGGGACGCTTGTAAGTCAAGGTGCCACTGGAACCGTAACAAGATGTGCACTTGAAATGACTCCCGTGTTGCATGTGTGCCAAGTACCCGTCGTTGGTTTTCCATCGCGTGTGCGCCAAAATTCCGTCATTCCCCGTTATTTATTTGGTGGTATTTACATGCAGTCACATGTGCCTCATTTGATATCCTTTCTGTATTTGTCATATTCTCATCGCAATAAATAAACCGTACATGCAGTACTTTATCCAGCCTTGTGTGCAAATGTTTTCTTCGGTCACTCGAGTAAAATGAAATGTGTGTGTGTGTGTACAGGAAGTTGGCGACGACGAATCACTGATGTCTATTAACTAAGTGACACGGTTACCACAAACGCCCCCGATCCCCGCTTAGCATCCACCCCCAAAGTCCCCACCGCCCGCTTGTTGTCGCCGTGACAACGGCGCTTCATGCCTGTCACCGGGGGCGGCTCTAATTGGCTCCCGGTGAGGACTGGTTAGCGCTTCGGGCCGCTGACTCAGTAACTCGCCTTGGTGTCCTTTTGCCTACCAGCAGGGATATATTCATTTTTTTCCCCCCCTCCCCCAAACTAATTGCGCAGCTCGCACTTTGACGCGAAACACAACCCCACACATGAGTGTCTGGAACGATCGGTGCATTTTATTTGGATTTTATGTTCATCACAGTACAAAAATAAATGAAAATAAGCCGAACTGGGAAATGAAATTAGGAACAGCAACAGCTTTTTTTTTTTTCGATTTCCTTTTTTTTTTTGGAAAAATGTGACATTTTAATAACAATCAAGAGCCCTGAAGCCCCTCCCTCCCCGCAACCCCGCACCATCTTTGTTTCCACGCAATCGTCTGTACAAACACATTCGCACACATACTCACACACGACCTTGTCTGAGTCACCGCGATCTATTTACAATGTACGTAACAATAGACACAAAAATCAGCAGTTTTGTCCCCCCCGCCCCCTACACATCCTTTTTTTTTTTTGTTTTTGTTTTTTATTTAAGCTTGTCAACTGACTCGATAATGAAAGTGGAGGGAAAAGCTGCTTTTTCTTTGTTCATGATAGACTCTTGAGGCACGTTTCCACCAAGCAGCACAGCTAAAACTTTGCGATTCTTTGCATTTTCGTTGAGTTTCCAACAAACATCACCTTTAAGATGCCCTTCCATCCCCCCAAAGAAGTGGGACGTGGGAGCCATTTTTTTTTTTTTTTGTTCATTTCACATCCAACGATTTGCACTTCCAAACTGCTTGGTGGAAAGTTGACGTGGGAAATGACCTCCAAAAAGTCAAACAGGAAAGATTTAGAAGATAAAAGCTTGGAGGACGGGTTAGGGGGTCTTATCTTTCAAACACAGTAGTTAGGACTTGCTTGTACTCCCGTGATGTATTACTTTGGGATGATGAACATAAAAGCCTCCTTCGCACTCTTTCTGGTGTCGAGCGCACTTGTAATCGTCCTCAAATGTGATCTCTCCTTTTAAGCACACTTGCAAGCCTTCCCTCTTGTGTCGTGGCTTCTCGTAAAAATTTGACGCCGGCAGTAACGTACGAGGGGAGATGTGACATTGGATGTCAAATACAGAAGAGACGGCGGGACCACAAAACTCAGGCTAACTGTTATGGCCACCCCCACCCCAAAAAAAAAGATACAATATGGGAGAATTTGTTTTTGTTGCCAGAAGTAAAATACGGGAGAAAAGAGGCGCAGAGGGTAAAATTAGACACCGGCAGTAAAACACTACATTGGGAGAAAAGAGGCGCAGAGGGTAAAATTAGACACCAGCAGTAAAACGTGACGTACATCTGACTTATTCCTGTCACCACTTGTTTCATCAGCATTGTTGTGGTGGCGCTGGTCAGATTATTCCCGCGAGTCATCCGCGATAAATCCCTGACGCTCAACCAGAAGCAGTCTTCATTCCCGCCAAAGATGAGACAAAACGCAGAAGCTCGAGAATGTTCACGGAGCTCCTAAAAGTCATTCGAGTGAATCGAGATCAGTGGGGAGGGAGAGCAGGAGTGAGGATATGGCACTGTTCACGCTAGACGATGAGCACGCTAAAGTCGCAAAAATGTGAGCAGGCAGAGATCAAATCAACACGAATGCAGAGCATTAAGTCCCCAAAAAAGAAGAGGAGAAAGGTTCGTCGCGCTCAAGTCGCTGGCACGCGTGCAAAACCATGAAATTCTAATCATCATCATCATCATCATGAATTATTACAAAAGAAAATGAGCTTGTTCCAGAAGTGCCATAAATAAAAAGCAATAAATAAGCTGTGAAAACATCCACTAACTTGTCGTATTAGATGGAGGAGAAAAAAAAAGAAAAAGTCACCGTCGTCTGGCTGACAAAAAGCCTCGACAATGCAATGTTGCGTCCCAGCGTTTCCCCGCTTTGTCTAGTCCGAGAGAACGCCCCCCACCACTCCCCACCCTGCAAAAACAGTCCCAAACCTCAACGGCGTAGCTGACGTTCCGTCCCAGACTCATCAAAAGTCCACGTGAGTCCGCATTTGTCGTCGGGGAGAGGATGCCAAGAGGGGGGTGGAGGAATTTCATTGTTGTGGCGTGACGACGAACGCCAGTCAGGCGATGGCCCTCCTGCGGGGCGCACGACAGGGGCAAACGTTACACACTTGCTTTGGGTCTGAAAGTGAATTTTTTTTAAACGTGTTTCCCATTTTCAAAGAAGTTTTATCAGGTAGATTGAAGTCCCCCGCCCTCCCCCACCCTCCCCCTTCTCACCGGTCCAGGCCGATGAGCAGGCGGCTGCGCTCCTCCTCTTTCTGGCTCTCGTTCTTGAGGTCGGCAAAGACCTGCGTGAAGTAGTGCGGGTCCGAGTTGATCTGCAGCATCTTGGCGCTCATCAGGTCGATGATGGACAGGCAGCGGTCCCAGAAGGCCTCCTTGGAGCTCTCCACCAGGAAGGGCTTGAGCGGGTAGGAGATCTCGTTGCCCATGTAGGAGTAGGACAGGTAGAGGCAGGTGAGCAGCACGGCCTGCAGCTCGTGCTCGCCGCCCACCTCCGAGGAGACCACGTCGCGGCAAAGCATGTAGACGAAGACCACGTTGGCCGGCGTGATGAAGCCCTGGTCCTGCCAGCCCTGGAGCAGGAGCGAGCGGTCCACGCTGCGCAGCCACAGCACCGGCTCGGTGGGCGACAGGTGCTTGAGGCGGTAGCAGCGCCGGCACAGGAAGTCGCCCAGGCAGCGCAGCAGCTCGCTGGTGGACGCCTGCACGATCACCCGCTTGGGGGTCCCGGGCACGGCGGCCGCCGCCGGGGCCTTCTTGACCGAGGGGCTGTCGTCGGAGGCCTTGTTGCCCCCCGGCGTGCTCTGGTCCTGCGCGAAGGACGATAGGTTGGCGCACGACTGCGACTTCTTCAGGTTCTCGTTGTTCAGGTGGCTGACGTTGCTCTGGTAGGTGCCGTTGGGCTGCACCTTCTTGGAGCCCTTCTTCTTGGCCGACACGGCCACGATGCGCTTCCACGGCAGCACGTTGATGAGCGAGTGGCGCTTCAGGCCCTTGTCTTTGGCGTTCTTGCTGTTTTGCACCGCCGTGTAGTGGCCCACCGTGGCCGGCCCGTCCTCAAACAGGGCCGCCTTGCGGTAGCTGGGCGACAGGGAGAGCACGGTTCCCATGGCGACGGCGGCAAGGGGACGACGGAAGATCTCGGGCGGAGGAGACGGCCAAGGCCTCGTCTACGTCGCTCAGCTTTCCCTCTGCCAATAGCCAGTGAGCCAGTTGAACATGATGTCAAAGTACTCTTACAACATTGCATTTCAAAATTTTAAAATCTTTCCCAAGTTAGAAATTCCGCAAGCAACCCAGGCGAAACTCAGCTCGGTTCGCCGTAAACCGCCCTGAACCTCCGCCACTGCCACTCGCCTCCTGAACCTTTCTCTGCATCATCTTGAGATGTTTACCCGCCCAAATTTGCACATGCCCGGACCCCACAAGAAGCCGTACTGGAATCTTTCCTAACGCTGCTGTTCCTAACAGCGGAAAAAAAAAAAATACACCTCTAGGTGCGCTTCGGTGCTTTTTTTTCACCAAATAGTTTGTGTTTAATCAAAGAAAATTGTGACTAGGCAAAAAGTGATTTACGAATTGGCTTTATGAGTCTATTTTTCCTTTGGTTCTTATTCAGCTGTTTGTCCCTGAGGCTAACGAGCAGCATTGACTGGACTCTGCTGCAGCGCTGGAGTGATTTAGTCACGCACACACACACACACACACACACACACACACACACACACACACACACACACGGGCTCGCGGCTCACAACCGATGATGGATGTAATGAAGATAATCGGATCCAATGATCAACAATATTTCATACGTGTTGCTCGTGCCTGTGCCACACGGTGGAAAAACAATAACAATCAAACACACACTCAACGTTTTTCATCTTTCAAAAACACAAATCCATATTTCATGTTCCATGGCCGAAGACTGAATCATGCACCATCACTAAAATGGACGCCAGAAATGTAAACAGCGTTCTCAGAGTCCACTTGGGTGCCTCTCGAGCGCCATGTAGTAGATATGGGGTATCGTTTGCAAGAAACGAGGGGGTAACTATGTCTCTGTTTCTAATCGCCCTCACTGCAGCAGCAAGTCAACCAAGCCGAACCTTCGGTTTATCATCGTGCATCACTTCGGTGCCGCCATCCGTGAGAAAAACAGCAATTTTTACCCCCAGAACCGAGTGTAAAGCTGATTTTGGTGGATTTTTGATGCTAATTTCGTCTCGCGGTTGCTCTCCGTGGTTCTGAAGATGAGCCGGTCGTGGATACGAGGCTATTTATAGCCACCCTTGCAAAAAAAAAAATCCATACTCGTGAAAAGGGACATTCTTATCTTACATCCTCACGGAAAGAACTCGATCTAATTCAGTTTAATATCCGAGCAAAAAGACGAATAGAATGAAAATAAAGCTTACCTACAGGTCTTGGAATGACTGTGCAGCGACGACGACGATGAGGACGAGCTTCTTGCCCCTCATGAACGGCGACTGACGAGCATCTCGGTCCGTTTCAAAGCCGCCGTGAGAAGCAATAATCTCCGACGGTAAAATATCACAAATCTAACAATACGGGAAAACACGCAACGGATGCGCAGCGAGGATGCTGGGGATGCGGATGCGCTCCTTCTGCTGCTCCCGCGGCCGTGATGCTGCGAGCCGCCTGATGCGTAGTGCCGCGTTTCGTCGTGTGGTGTGTATCGTGCGGTGTTGTGTTGTGTTGTGCAGTGATGGCGCAAAGGCGGTGGTCCTCCTGTACAGCGTCCGCGCCGCGCACCCGCTTGTAGAACGAGTGCGTGCGAAGAAACCCGCAGGCGCGGTGTACAGTGCAGCGCGTGCACCTGAACGCCCCGCCAAGCGTCCGGTGATTGGAGGACGTTTGCGCTTGACCCAATTTGAGGCACATTGACACTAATCTCGCCTCCCCAAGGGTTAAATCAATAGGAAATGTGCTCATTTTATGTTTGACACACGTGTTATCTCTGCAAAGAGCAAATATTGATTGTCGGGAAAATGTAGTCAAACCATAAACAGGAAAGAGGAATAGATTTTTATTTTCCGTAAGAATCTAAAACCTCGGAAGAACCAAAATAAACTATCGCTGCTATGGGATTGTTATCCTGATTCTTGAAATAACATGAGATTAAATGTGGATTTCATTCAATTTTCCTGTCATTACAGGGGTTCAGTAACATCCACTACCCTCTTTATGAAAGCATACAAGAATGATTTAATATGGACTGTAAAGAGTGAAACAAACCACTTATTTGCTTAAAATCAATGGCCATTGTGCTGCTCCTTCTGGTGTGCGCATCTTGGCCACCCGGGGGCAGTATAACACAATCATACAGACAAAGAGATGGTCACTCTTCAGTAAACTGCAGTAACAATGGTCATCCTTCACAGAGGATAAAAAATATATGCCGTGAGCATATTAATATCATGTGTCTTCATACGTTACACCACACTCTGTGTTGAAATATAGGTTCGATGTAATTTTGTAGAGTTTGTGAACATGAAGTGATTTATTGAATGTAGTTCGCTTTATATTGGTTATTGTCTTCACACAAAGCGCTATTTTGGCGTTAAACTTCATTTCCCGGCATGCTCCCGGTCACCATGAGGTCACATCCTGTACGTACTTGCCATTCAGGGTGCACTTTGAATAAGGAAGATGGCGGCTGCAGCAGTGGTCGAGTTTCAGAGAGCTCAGTCTCTCATTAGCACGGACCGAGACGCCTCCATCGACATCCTGCACTCGATAGGTACGTGTCACGCTTTTATTTCGAAGCTGGGGGGGCCCTTTGCCGTACGGGGGGTGTTTTCTCGCCGCTTGGTCGCTTGTGGGCCGCCGCTCGTTGGGTAGCAGCGAGCCGGCTGCGCGGTGCTGACTCACTGTTGAATGGGAGCTCCCGTCCAGCGGTAGTGGACGGCCGTTAGCCGCTTAGCCGCTCTGCTAACAGGCCTCACGCATCAAGCAGTTCGTGTTTTGTCTCTTGTTAACATTTTTCCCCCACTGTTACCGACCTGCGAGTCGATTTTTAAATATGTGCCATTCGAGTATCGGTGTTGCTCAACAGCTAGCCTGTTGTCATCGTGACAGTGATTGTTAAGGCTGTGATATGTTATGTTGTTATTTTATTTCATTTTTTTTGTGGATATAGATCGTTCTTCGCGATGACACGACAGCGTTTCGCCCGCGTGTGTTCCGAAAGTTTTGTGGTTTAAAAAAGCGAATTGAACGTAGGCTCCGTGTAATGTATGTCATGTGTAAACACCGGCGAAGTTGCCCTCAAATTGCCTTGTCACAGTAGCGGACTTCAGCTGTCATCCCCCCCATTTGCAAACATCTCGTTTGACTTTGGAAAACAGTGATCAACATTTTTGCAGATTTTTGGACATTACAGACAAACAGTTAACTGAAATCATCAGCAATTTGTGCATTTTTTCATGGTGTATGTCATCCGCAGAAAAAAATATCAATGTTGTATGTTTTCCAGGAAGCAGAAGGAAAAAAGTCTCTTGGAAAATAAACGTGAAAAATGTGACACATGAGTGCATTTTTTCATGGTGTATGTCATCCGCAGAAAATTGTTGTTACTTCCCACCACTGCTCATGAAGCGCTTCGAGCAAACGTCTTGTTGCAACTTGCCTTTGCACTGAAGATACGAAAGTGAAATGCTTTGCTAAATGATATCCACATTTTTTTTCCTTACACATTGACCTGAAGACGCCTCGGAAACATAAAATCACTTAAGAGTAAATCCAGTCAACCATCACCAGCTCACAAAACTAATTGCCGAAAACCTCCCCTCTTCGTCAAACAGTAACGACGCATTAGACTGATCCACTCGCATCTGTTGGAATGTAAACAAGCCAAATCCGCCTTTGTTTCTGTTGATGAACTGCGTTCAGCCATATTTGGACAGAACGACCAGGATGTGTTTGTAATGGTTTGGCGTTGGCAGTGAGGCGAGACGTCCAGGAGAATGATGAAGAAGCAGTCAGGGTCAAAGAGCAGAGCATCCTGGAGCTGGGGACTCTGCTGGCCAAGACGGGACAGGCGGCAGGTGAAAACGCCCACAAAGTGTCATCATTTTTCTTTTTCGGGCAAAGTCTCTTGTGTCTCTAATACTCGTCTCCCCCACCCCAGAACTCGGCGGTCTCCTGAAATTTGTGCGGCCGTTCCTGATCTCCATCAGCAAGGCCAAAGCGGCCCGGCTGGTGCGCTCGCTGCTGGACTTGTTCCTGGACATGGAGGCGGCCACGGGCCAGGAGGTAGAGCTGTGCCTGGAATGCATCGAGTGGGCCAAGGCCGAGAAGAGGACCTTTTTGCGGCAAGCTCTCGAGGTGAAGACACATTAAAAAAATTGACCGACCTAAGCTCAAGGAATTGATTCAAAATGTACTGATGTGATTCATATTTTGGTCCGTTTCCTTCTCCTGCCTACAGGCTCGACTGATCTCGCTCTATTTTGACACCAAGAGGTACCAGGAGGCCTTGGCGCTCGGTGGGTGCTCATCTTGGAGCTCTGACATCACACATGACAAACGCCGTCATGGCTGGCGACTTAAAGGCAAGCGAGATATTTTCTGGTGCCCGCCGCAGGGTCGCAGCTGCTGCTGGAGCTGAAGAAGATGGACGACAAGGCCCTGCTGGTGGAAGTGCAGCTGCTGGAGAGCAAGACCTACCACGCCCTCAGTAACCTGCCCAAGGCCCGCGCCGCGCTCACCTCGGCGCGCACCACCGCCAACGCCATCTACTGTCCTCCCAAGCTGCAGGCGGCGCTCGACATGCAGTCAGGTGGGAACCGAGCCCTCATTGTGCACCGTCGCAATTGTCGGGGACACGTTTTTTTGCGTTCGGGCGGTGTACACCAAGGACGTTTGCGGGCCACGTAAAATGACGCGACGGCCCTTGAGTTTGATCTTCGACATGAACCGCTCGTCATCGAGGCGCTTGTGTTCCGCGTGCAGGGATCATCCACGCGGCCGAGGAGAAGGACTGGAAGACGGCTTACTCCTACTTCTTCGAGGCTTTCGAGGGCTGCGACTCCATCGACAGCCCGCGAGCCATCACGGCCCTCAAATACATGCTCCTCTGCAAGATTGTCCTCAACTCGTATGTATACGCGCAAATAGATTGCCCTCGTTGTCGTCCAGCTTCCAGATTTGATGTTGCGGGTGTTTAGGGGTTTGTTTTTAATCATTGCAGACCAGAGGAGGTACAAGCTCTGATAAGCGGGAAACTGGCCCTCCGGTACACCGGACGCCAGGTAAGGGTTTTTTGGGGCTCTGCTTATCTGGTCTGGTTGCCTTTTTTTTCCCCCCCCAACATGAATTATCACTCTCCTTGTAGACAGACGCACTGAAATGCGTGGCCCAGGCCAGCAAGAACCGATCGTTAGCAGACTTTGAAAAGGTAACAGAAGTCTTAGGTTCTTTTGGTCGTGTCCCACGTGAAGTTTTGTGCGTTTTCAAGCGAGCATGTAACCTCCACCCCTGTCCCGCAGGCCCTCACAGAGTACAGAGCGGAGCTGCGGGACGACCCCATTATCAACACACACCTGGCCAAGCTGTACGACAACCTGCTGGAACAGAACCTCATCCGGGTCATCGAGCCCTTCTCCAGAGTGCAGGTGACAAGCTTGTTTTGGTTTCTGGTCGCAAGGAAAGACTGTGGCAAGCTTTCAAGGGCCACACCAAACGATGTGGAAGACAGGCATTGATTTTTCTCATCGATGATTCAGCACAGATTTTTAAAGCATTATTTTTTTTTGTGTCCTTTCCTTCTGTTTTTCCAGATAGAACACATATCAGCTCTTATCAAACTCTCAAAGGTACGCCATTTCAAGTAAAACTTTTAAATTCATGATTGATTATTATTGATGAAGCTGTTTTTTCTTTTTTTTTTAGGAAGCTGTAGAGCGCAAACTATCGCAGATGATTCTGGATAAAAAGTTTCACGGTACAAACTCTTGAACATGCACGTAGAGATGAAATGATGTCAGGGCCAAATGGTCAGTACAAAAATTGTCACAATAGCGCATTTAAAAAAAATATGTATATATATTACATCAGCTTCCCTGTGTAGTTTTTGAAATTAGACTTTGTAAACGGCATCACCCAAACTCAGATTTCTTATTCACAAGCCTCCAACTCAAAAATTCAAATTGACTTCTATGAGACTTTATTGGATTTTTTTTTTTTTGGGGGGGGGGCCCCTCAGGAATCCTGGACCAGGGGGAAGGGGTGCTGATCATCTTCGAGGAGCCACCCGTGGACAAAACGTACGAAGCCGCCTTGGAAACCATTCAGAACATGAGCAAAGTGGTCGACTCGCTTTACAACAAAGCCAAGAAGCTGACATAGGTGAGCGACGTGTTCAGAAAAGTCAACACTTGATGGGAACTAAACGATAATGATGATCATACAGATGCTGAGCGTCATTTTCCATCTTCGTCTTCAGAGCAGACCTGCGGCCGTGGCCTGGAGGAAGCGTGCGTGTGTGTTTGAGCAGCTTATGTAACATTTGAAGACTGGGACAAGGGAGAAAATGACAAAAGTGCAGTGAACAAGATCCCCCCTACCACCCATCAGACACACCTCAGCTCTCCCCCTCAATGGACAGTATCACATTTCTGTGTGTGTTTTTTTGTTTTTTTCCTGGCCCTATTATTTTGATATCTCATTTAAACACAGCGGCCAAGGCAGGCCATCAGGGAATCTTATTGTACCACCACAGTAAAAAGATTAAAATGAAGAACAGTACATACCAGTTCAACCTCTTCAGCCTTCAATCTCTGCTCCCAAAAAAGCAGAAACGACACTCCCCCAGCCCCCTTTTGATTGTTCATGTGGCTTTCAGAAGCACACTTAACCATTCGGGAAGGTTGGAAATTTGGTTGTACCCCCTCATTCATATCAATGCCAACAGTCCCCAGTCCCCACTGTATTTCAGAAGTTTATTAAACTCACTATATTTGCGTTTGGGTTTGTGTTTTTGTAAAAAAACAAACAAAAAACAATTAAAGGTTGCAACATGCCTGCCCCCCAACCCTGAATGCTCATGTATGTTAATAGAAGAGGCAAGAGGAAATTTCACCGCGAGTGCCACTTTCCCTGGCGCTTGTCTGCCTCTCATCGGGGTGCAATGTCAAAATTCCCATCAGGCAAAAAAAAATAAAAAAAGGCTTTTTGCCTATCAGCATCCCCCGACTCCGCTCTTCTCCATTGTTAGTTTCTAGCATAAGCGTGATATGCTAGTAACCAAACAATTTGTATGTTTTTTTTGTTTGTTTTTCTCTTATAAAGACATTTTCAAAATAAATATTTTGTATTTTAAAGACATTTGTCCTGTCTCTTGGAATGACATGAAAATACATTGGCAACTGAATTGTCTCATCCCAAAAATGATTGGCACTGTTTGTCAAAAAATATTATACCGTCGATGTTACATATTGAAAATGAGAAATACGCCACTAAGGATTGTTTCGATACTTCCTTACTGCTGTGACGTGTTTACGTGTTAGTCATGTGTCGTCACACGATGGCGTCTCATGATCTCGCGAGACGTATACGATAAGTCACTTGCTCTGTCAGCGGAAGAAAAACTCCACTTGAATCAGCGTAAAAAAGATATCAACACAAAGATGACAACGAGGGTGAGTATATCTCGAATGAACCTTTTACGAATAAACGCACTTACTTTACATACGGAGGAGGTTTAAAGTATTCTTTTGGAGGACTGAAAAGACTGGTGGCAACAAGAAGCACTTGTCATTCAAAAGTTGGCAACACCGAAAGCGGAATCTTGTGCAGACCTTTTCTCTGCTAGTACGATATAGCTGACACTTAAATGTGTTAAAATTGTCCCGGAACTGTTGCAAGAAGCAATAGTTGTTGTTTGGCTCAAAAGTTTAATTGCACTGCAAAATGAACGCGACAGGATGCAGGAAAAGTGATTAAGATTGCACGACTGTCTGTGTCTTATGTGTTGTGTTATTTTTTTTTATTTTGACTTCAAGATGGCGCCGCGAGAGTGGCTGCCTTTCCAGCAGCTCCTCTATTTTGTTCTTATACTTCTTCCTTTCGTAACTTTGCTGCTGTGAATTGGGAATTTCTCCATAGCGAGACTAATAAAGGTTTTCTTATCTTAACGCTATGCAGAGTTGAGCAGTGGCTGTTGACGTCAGCAGGCTTTTTCAAGAGCTGCGACCTATGTCAACAAAGTACTTTGGGTCTCGAATTTGCATCTTTTAAGCGCAATACGACCATTCTTTGTGTTTGGTCTCAACTACCATTCATTTTTCTGGGTTATTGTGAGACGTTTGTCGAGTTGAGTTGGTGAAGTTAAATGCCAGCAACGGTTAACTTCCGTTTCCGTTGGCGCACACTTCCCACGTCATCGCCTCTTCCCTTCCTTCGTTCATTCATTCTTACCTTCAGTCCTCACTTGCTCACTTCATTCTTTCCTCTATTCTTTCTTCCTTGCTTCCTTCCATCCTTCCATCCATCCTACCTATGTTCTTGCATTCTGCGCTCCTTTCCTGCAATCGTTTACTTGCTTATGCACAGATTAAAAAAAATATGATTGATTAAAAAAAAAAAAAAAGCCCCACAACGCAAATCAAAAGGATTTTTAAAAAAATTGACCGAGCAATCTCTTATAAGTCAGTAAGTCTGGTCAAGATGCAACTAAATAGTTTGTCGATTTTTTTTTTCTGACGTTCATTGATAAATTCTGTCCCTCTTCTTTCGTCAGCTGATGCAGGCGGCGCGATGCCCGACGGACAAATTGTCGATGACCAACTGTGCCGTCATCAACGAGAAAGAGCCGCAGTTTGAGCAGTAAGTTCTCCTTTCGAGACACATGTCCGTTTCTTTCTCGAATGCCGTCTTTCTCCGGCACCCATTTTACAACGCACGACCAAACAAAAGCGTCACAAATAGTATGAATGCTAAAATATTGATGATTATTATATATGATGGACGCTACAACTTCGTGTTTGCGTTCAAAACTTAGCTTGTAGCAGACGTGTGCACATTTTCAGCATGACGTCCCTGATCCACTGGTAAAAGGACACTTTGATCCTCTCCTCTTTCATCTATATCTGCTTCAGACAACAAAGTGTATGCAGGTGAAGATTGCACGACTGTCTGTGTCCTATGTGTTGTGTTATTTTTGTTATTTTGACTTCAAGATGGCGCCGCGAGAGTGGCTGCCTTTCCAGCAGCTCCTATATTTTGTTGTTCTACTTCTTCCTTTCATAACTTTGCTGCTGTGAATTGGGAATTTCTCCAAGGTTTTCATATCTTATCTTATCTTTTAATGGTTAATTTGCTCTTCCTCTCAGACACGTGACTGTGCGCAACCTAACCCACAAGTATGTGTTCACCTTGAAGACGCACCCGAGCGTCAACATGGGCAGCATCGCCTTCAGTCTCCCACAGGTATGGCTCGGGCCCCCGAAACTTGCTTTGTGCCTTGACAAAGCTTGATCGCAATTTGTCATTTTTGGCTCTTGTCAGTCTGAAGCAAGCTGAAACACATGCTGATGCAGAATTTTTTATTTTTTTTGGATGCGTGAGATTGCGTGTACCCCGCTTTAAAACCTTCGATTCGCTTCTTTCCAAGGATGCGATGGAGCATTTTTGTTCTTGCTAACTTCATTATCATTTTACACTTTCTGGAAAATTAAACGAGGGTTGTGTTTGAGCCCACTCTTGCTTGTAACAGAGTGCTTTTTCCCTCCATTTAACTTGGCTTCCTCTTCGTCCATCTTTAACCCTGGCCGCTGCCTCCGCACCAGCCCAAAGGTACTGGCTAACCCTCTCTTTCTTCTATTCTTCCTCCGCTGGACTTCCAATCTGCTTTCGAAGCCGCTAGCTAACCCCTTAGTGTTGTGACTTAGGAACAATAAAAGTCCACTTCGTGTTCTGTTTTTTCCTCCAAACAGAGAAAATGGGCCGGTCTGTCCATCGGACAAGAGGTGGAAGGTGAGTAAAAAAAATAAATAAATAAAAGATGCTGCCACAGGCCACTCCATTAGGTACACTTGAGATCCAATACAAGAGCTATAGTGTCAATCAAAAGTGAGGATTATCAGCCTTGATCGAGCTGGCGAAAAATACGTGACGAAATGAAGTACCTAATCAAAAGTGAGGATTATCAGCCTTGATCGAGCTGTTGTGCAGGGCGAAAAATAGGTGACGAAATGAAGTACCCACTGTAGAATATTTTACTTTGTAAAAACATGCAGCTATGACATAATTAAATAGAATGTAAAGAATAACACATTCCCCCCTGAGTTAAATGGACGCTGTGCCGCTTCCTCTGATGTGTGCGCCGTGGCCACCAGAGGGCAGTCTAGAACAGACGTCCCTTTTAAAATATAATTCCCCGTTGCTTGTAATGACTACTTTTTTTTTTTTTTTCTAATTCTGACCGCAGACTTCTCTTTTGACAAAAATGACTTCAATACGGCAATACTTTCAATTCTGCCACTCTAGTTTTTCCGGTTTATGGCAGCACTGCTGAATTTTAGAGCCATGCGGCCTTCCAGTCAATCCTGAGGCGCAAGCTCCCAATAATCCCGCTCAAATATGTCACGCAGTCTCCAACTACACGTTTGACAAGTCCAAGCAGTGCATCGGCTCCTTGACGGTGGAGATCGATTTTCTGCTTAAGAAGAACGCCGACAGCAACCCGTACGACTCGGACGTGATGGCCAACGACTTCATTCAGCAGTTCAACCACCAGGCTTTCACCATAGGCCAGCAGGTACCAGATGCTCATCCCTTTTCCCAAATATATCCACGCCATTTTGTGTGTCTGTGATTTTTGCAGATGGTGTTTAAGTTTGGCGATAAGTCATTTGACGTGCTGGTGAAAGATATGGAAGGCATGGACCCCAGCATCCTAAAGGGCGACCAGAGCTCGGTCAAAAAAGCAAAGGTGTTCTTTTTCTTTCTGCTGCCTTTGCAATGACGTCACGTAATTAATAATCATCGTTATGTGTCTTTCCCCCAGATTAATATTGGCTTGTTGCTGTCAAACAGTCAGTTGATCTTTGAGAAGGCGGAGAGTTCCTCCATGACGCTGATTGGTGAGCCATGGTTCTGTTGTTGTACTTACGCCACAGCAATTGATGTACTTGGCATTGTCCAAGAAAAAACAGTCATGTGAATGATGAATTACTTTTCAAATACAAAAATCCTTAATGTAATGATGAGGGTGTAAGGAATAAATGAACGATTTGGAGCACAGCCGTCATCGCAGGGGATGGAATGACAGTGCCCTCTATGGCCACAAGAGGGCACCGTGCTCACATGTAGGCTTTTTTTTAATTCAGCAAGTCGAGGAAGTCGCCACTCTTTTTTTAAAGAGTGGGAGTCATGACTTGAGTTCAGCAAGTCATCAATCAACTTGTACCAAATATTCCAGTCACAACACATACCGCGGCAAAGCACAGTTATTTTTCCAAAACAAATGGGGCACTTTTGTTTAAAATGCATATGGTCCAAACTCAAAAGTCATGTGTTTCAAGTGAAAGTCAAGACCGATCTTGTCCTAAAACCGGCAACTCGCTAATAATACATTTCAAAACGTGCATGTTTGTCCAATGGGCGCACAGGGAAATCCAAGACCCGAGAGTCTCGCCAATCCATCATCAACCCCGATTGGAACTTTGACAAAATGGGCATCGGCGGCCTCGACAAGGAGTTTTCCGACATCTTCCGCCGAGCTTTCGCCTCGCGAGTTTTCCCTCTGGACATCGTGGAACAGATGGGTGAGTTCCTCTCTCAGCGCCACCTGTTGCTCAGGCATACACATGACAGGCAGAAGGGGCAAAATAACCGTGCATGTGTGGGCAGACTTCAGAAAAATGATTTGTTTAATTTATTTGAAGTAGACTAACTGCTGTCAGCACTGGATTATCATGAGATGTCAAACTCCTTCATGGCATGTAGTAATCCTTAAATCCAAATGAAGGGCAAAGGCAGCTTTGAATGTGT